GCATTAGGGAATTTAGGTTTTAAAAAAAGGTAATTTTTGTGATAAAAGTCAATTACAGTATATTTAATAGAAACGCTTTATTATTAAATTCTATAAAAGCCCTACGATTCGCAATAAGCAACCATTTATATAAATCTTTCATTAATGTAAAAAAAAATATTAATTACAAATAATGCAATAGTCTCTAACACTAAGAAAAATGTAATAAAATTGCGCGAAGGTATAGTAAAAATATGAAGCTAACTAATTCTAATTTAGAAGGAAAGGTCATTGCGCAAAACGTAATAAGATTTACATAATATCCACAAATAATAAATAATCGATCATGTGATTATAGGAGTGCACCGCTGTGCAGATGTATAATTTATGAAACGCTTTTTTCTGGACTGAATTTCATACCATTTTGTTCCAACGTTTGTTGGATTCTTTCAAGTGCAGCCTGATTTTGTTGAGAAATTTTTAATAAAGTTCGCACTTGATCGAGTAACACATCTTGATTAGCAACCAGCTCGTCATTCATAGATTCATAACCACGAGGCATATTAGATATATACGAATGTGTACTTTCAAAGCTAGTTCGCAAATCTGCACCTAGACAAATTAAATGAAAAAATATCAATACATTGTTTATTATCATACATAAGCATTTTTATTACTTGCCAGTTGTACATTCACTCTCATTATTTGTACCATCATTGTTTGTTTGATCCTTTATGAAAAAAAGTGTATAAGAACTAATTGGAAGCTACAATTTTTTTTTTTTTTTTTATAAAAAGAACTCACTCGTGCAATGGCATTAGAGCGACGGTATTGTCGCATTGCTTCCCATACTAAAGTAAAATTTTTTCCAACAATTATGGATGGTAACGCTATAAGCTGCATAATATCAAACAGATATGAAGAATATTAATATATTCAAAGAAATCACAATTGTCCGGAGCGTAGTGGAGGCTTACATTTTCGGATACAGCAGTGGCACGTGATTTGTCGATATACTCTAGGCAGTGTTGGGAAATTGAACAAAAAACTGCGCCATATTTAGTTTTGGACATATGTCCAATTAACTTTGGACATAGTAATCTTCCCAACACTGCTATATCGTATTATACCCACTGGCATAATACTGGTATTATACCGGTATTTCACAAACTAGGAATAATACCAGATAATTAACGTTAATGCAATTAATCAAATTGCTACATATATATATGGGTCTTTGCCTTACGACATTTTCCGATCGGGCTAATTCGGACAAAAGTGAATCACATTTGACCTTTATTGATTCGATAGTTTATTGAATAAACTATCGAATCAATAAAGGCCAAATGTGATTCACTTTTGTCCGAATTAGCCCGATCGGAAAATCGTAAGGTGATTTTCAAGACAAAGACCCATATAATCCCCACTTGGTATCATGAACATTATATTATATTATACCAGTAATAATCACAGCCCTTGTCCGTCTGACCAACCATGTGATCTACATTTCAAATAATTGGCTAGTTGCTCCGGACTTACAACAGTTTCTGTTTTCCTAATATAATTAAAAATCTCACCAGGATGCCGCACATCATAGCGGGGAAAGCTATCACTTTTCCAACAAATGTTGTGGGAACCATATCACCTATCAAAAAGAGAAATTTAATATTAAAAATTAAGGCACTAACTGAAACGCAACAAACACAACAAATTTAAACTAAACAAACATACCATAACCTGTAGTGGTTATAGTTACCATAACAAACCAAAATGCTGAAGGAATACTATCAAAAGAGCTAATAAATGCCAAATAATTAGCACTTGGTTACATAACAATATCAATTGTAAACCTACAAATTCAGATGGTAATATGTACCTAGGTAATCCTTTACTATTAACAAATTGTTGTTTCTCTTGATCCCATGTACCTGACGAAAAAAAATAATATAAAAATTACATATTAAATAAAAATATTATATGATTAATCTACAAAACAATTAATGTGACGGATTAAAATGAAATGAGAGATAGTGTAAAACAGACAAGCCACCGAAAAATACAAATTTTTGGGGTGCACTTTTTTAACATTTTTTTAGGGTTCGGATTAGGGTTAGGGATAGGTTTTATAAAAAAACAAGTATAAGTGGGTTTTAGGGGGGCAAATAGAAACCTCTCATTCATTTTAATCCGATTTCATTATGATCCGCGACAATTAATAATAATAATAATAGGCTTACCACGTTCGGCGAAATACAACAAGGTAGAAAATAGCACAATACTCGTGGCCATAAAGAAGAATAATGCACCTAGTGCGTCCATACTTCTTTTGACAGCGATAATCATTACTTCAATAGTCATTATAATTGTCGAAGAATATTTGAATGCTTTAAAAACACGAAGGAGACGGAACAAGCGAAGAATGGTAAAACGAAAATCGTAGGTCTAAAAAAGATAATTAAAAAGCAAATTAATAAATAAATAAATTAAGGTATATAAAAATTTGTATTGCACATATTTTTACCGTGTCATGATGAAAAGCCAATTCTACATAGTACGGGGCAATTGCAATGAAATCTATGACAGCAAGAGGAGCTATTTTCCACAAAGAAGACGGTGATATCGATACGGGGGTTGAAAAAACGAAATCATTCTGAAAATTTTCAAAATGCGCTCGCCCGAGATCTTGTATATTTACATGAATGAAATATAAATTATTAAATGAAATCCCTACCTTTTACAAATTTCCATAATTGCTTGAACGAATCGGAATGTGCTATTAATCGTAATATATATTCAATGGTAAATATAAATACTACTGTGGTTTCAAAATTGAACCTAAGATAATACAGCATCTAATGAATTTCATTGATAAATTCAGAAAAAATAAAAAATATTTAATATAGGTTATATCGTTTTTAGGACTTACCAAACGGAGCTAGATGTTAACCTAAATGAAGGTATTGTCTCAACAGTGGTCAACACAGCACTTAATATTATAGAAAATGAGACAAAAACGTTGACCATAAACGCGGCTTTACTTGAGGAAGGATCTTCCAATAACAAAAATAAGCTCCTTTTCCAATCCGTACGCATTGAATTTGCTTCGGTATTATTCGCGGAGGATGATTCATAGGTACCACCTGCTTCTCTCAATTCTTGTGGAATTTCTGTAAGAGGCCATTCTTCTTCTAAGACAACGCCAGAAATCGAGGTTCTATGAATTGGAGACAACGAGGTGAAATGAACAATGTGAGGTTGCGAATCGACACTAGCGTTTAGACTCAATCTAGGAGCTTGAGTTTGAGGTGTGATGGCTTGCATTGGTATAGCAGGTGTTTGAGAGACAGACGAATTGCTCTCGGTCGGGAGTCTTGTAAACTGTTGTTGCTTACTCATTTGAATAAGGGTAACCTTATCGATATGGATGGTACTTACCTTTATATTAAAATATCTAATTTTGGGTTTATATGTATTGCAAGTGAAATTTGAATTTCAGTGTAAACATCCATGTTTATGTGCAATTCTATTGGACAATGGTAATATGGAGGTTTTGCCTTGAAAATTACATAGTAAATCATATGTCCCATATTTGATTTTCAAGGCAAAGACCCCATATATTTATCCTGGTACTTTAATCATGTAACAATTAAGCACCATGCTGCATAGTGCCCATCTTTAGGCATGCCACTTATAGGTCTTATATCAATAGACCAATCAAATTGTGCCAATTTTGAAGTAACAATTTATTTTATATTTTTAAGAATTACCAAAAAAATCCGAAGCTTATAACGATCGTAATTTAGATCCTTGAAGCTACAGTTTCATTCGTTAAGTTTTTAATCCAAGCCTTTAATTTTTTAATCACATGTTATAGAAAACTTGTAACAATATAAGTTCTTTAGATTTAGAAGAAATTTTGTTAAATGCTTTTTTAAAGTTAAAGTTTATGATTTAATCATTAGTTGCAATAATTTTTAAATATGCTTTGAGGTAGTTGTAAAAGAAAAAAGATATTTGTTTAGAGCTTAAAGTTTGAAAATTTGTTTTAAAAAGTTTTAACTTATTGAGTTTGATAAGTTTTTGGTTGCAAGTAGAAATAACTCTTTCCGACAATCCTCTGATCAACAACAATAGCAAACCGAACTACAGAAAAACGATATAGAAATGTCTAAGAAAGATACTTCTCAGTCTTATCTTAAAGTAATACAGTTGTCAACAAAGCTTGAAAACGTGAAATACCGAGGAGTGGGCATACTTTAGGTGGTTTTTTTTGAAGTCAAGCCTTCTTTTGCTTGGGGGTGAACTTCTTAAGTTATTCGGCATCCAAACTAGAAAGGTTTTTTGTGAACTGATATTACTTAAGTGTAAGTTGTTGTCGACAAAGTCTAAGAGATGTGATATATTGAGAAGCTGCATAACTTGGATGGTTTTCTTAGGGTCAAGTCTTTGCTATATTGGACGGACTCTTTAAGTTATTTGGCATCCAAACCAGAAGGGCTATTTTGGGAACAAGTAGTAGTTAAAAGACTCTTGCTGAGATAGTTAAAGCTTGAAGAATTGTCTATACAACTGTAAAACTTATAGAAGAACCTTATATATTCTCATTAACCCTTTACTTTTTTTTCTAAAGAAAATTTTGTAAAAAAGTAGATAATTTAGCTTACCCTCTCCAAAAAATTGACATATTGTTTACTTACCAAATCAGTTGGCATTGTTTATATTTTGCTGTTACAACAAATACGTGGATATGCATAGAATGTGGACATGTAGATTACGTGCCTCAAAAGCAGGGCCAGTAATTTTCTGTGGTGACAAAATCAAAATTATGTAATGACAAAATTTAAATTATGTGATGTGATATAAACTATATTTGCTAAATTATGTGTAAATCTGTGATATACTTGGCCAAATTATGTGAGATTCTGTGGCGTGCTTACCAAATTATATGCAATTCTATACTAAAATTTGTTGGAACTTTTCTGGATTTTGTTTCGAAAGAGTTATCATAACCTTGCTCATAATTTGAGTTTCTTCAAATTACACGATTTTATATCAGGAGATATTGGATCTATTAAACTTTATCTATTGACTTGCCAATAAATTGCCAAATTATGTGACAATTCTTATAAATTACCTCCATTATATACAATTCTGCAGTAATAAACACCAAATTATATAATATAGGTATATTTATGTGAATTCTGTGGTATTATGTAAAACACAGAAAATCACTGGCCCTGCTTAAAAGTAGCAATTCTAACAAACAATGCTTTGAGACTAATAGTATGGATTTCCAACTTCTTTATAGTGATGATGTCAAAAAAGCTAATTTTTTGCCTCTTATAGTTTTTTGCTTAGATATATTAATTATATAAATTAGAATAAAGACTAGTTTAGATAGTACAGTATGTAATTTTTACAAAGCCTGACACAGGCTTATAATTGTAACTGTCTGTTGTGAGATATCCATATTTTTCTTTTTTCATTTTTTCCTTTACCTCTTTATTTTCTTGTTTATATCTTTTATCATATTTCCTTATACCTCTGTGTTTTTTTTATAAAATGTTTTTTCTTTTTCTTTTACTTCTCTATGAGAAGATGTCATCAGATTGGTGATATCCTATTGTAGAGTGGTGGTTGGACAAGCTTTCTGTTTAGGGTATTATCTTAATTGATCGTACCTCTGTGGTGTGGCAGATCACCTGTAAGTATGTGTAGATAACCAGTTAGATTATGTAAGGTAACCACAGAATATCAGAATCAAAGTTTTATTGTATTACATCTTTCACAAGAAGAGCTTTAATAAACAGAATTCACTGGCATAACCTTGCTTAAATGAAAAAAAAAAAATAAGTTTTTGATTGAGTGTAATAAAATTTTTGTTTTGCTTAGTTAGCAAAGGTAAAGATTTTTTAAAAAAAAGGCAGTAGAAAAAGTAGCAATATAAAGTTGATTAAATAAAAAAATAAAATTATCTAAAGTTAAATAAATATATTTATAGTAGAAGCAGATAAGATTTGAAAAGAATGTTTAGTAGTATTTAGTATAGTATAAGAATTGTATATTTAGTTATATCTGAATATATATACTGTATAGTGCAATATGATTTTAATAATAGTGTTTTAAATAGATAAAATAGTAGAAAGTTGAATTTCCTTAAGAATAAGTTTTTTGTATTTGTTATTTATTGTTGTCACTATTTGGAATTTGATATAATTATATTTATAAAATTTATAAACATCAACTCTTTTTGACGATCACTTGAACCAAGACTGGACCAAAACAGTTTGAAGGTTCAAGGCCCTAAGAAGTCTAAAGATATCTGAGGTTCCTTATTGGTATTGTTGTTAATAAAGACTTATATATAAAACACTGAGGAGCAGGATGTATATAGTTGGTTTGTGCTTTAAATTAAGCTTTACTTCTGGATAGACTCCTTTGCATGTTCGACATCCAAGCCAAAAGAGTTATTTTGATAACAGTAGTGGTGAAAAACTCCTGACTCAAGTGTCTGAAGCTTTTTAGTTCTACGATAAACAACTGAAAACATCTTCTTTGTCTTGAGCTTTCACAAATACAGTACTTTTCTTCTTTCGATACTTTTGGCTATAATTTTGACAAAAAGTGGAAAATTCGGCATACCCCTCCAAAAGATCAGCAAATGTTTACCACTTTTATATTGAAAAAATCTGCATAATGACAAACAATACATATAAAATAGATGGTGCTGGTGAATTTAGTGACTAGATGAGTATTCAGAAGAATACCTTACATGTTGTGTTGTTGAAGATATACAAACATGTGATCATTGGATAGGGTACGTAAAGATTCCAAAATTCTTATACTTTCAAATAAAGATATGGATTTAATTAAAAAAGTAAAGCAAAGTGAAAAGAGATATACAGGCATCCTCTAGTCATCTGTATATAATTTTTAGCCTCTGACATGAGTTATAGTGCATTTTGTTTTAGTTTTATCTTTCGTGTCAAGACTCTCACACTTAATAGTAAATCGTAACTCTGTATAATTAGAAGTTGTTGCCTGGTTAGCAGGCTTTCTTCTTTTTAGTAATAGTTTCTTTTAGGTTTTAGTTTAGTTTTTTTTTTATATTCCTTAGTATAAGTATCTGTTTTTTTTGATGTATTAGTTTTATTTTTTATACCTTTTTTCATTTTCCATTATCTTTTTTTTTTCTTTTTTCCTTTTCTATGAGAAAGTATTATCAGTTTGGCGGCATTCTATTGTAGGGCAGGAATCTTGACGGGGTGAGCAACAGCTAGCCGAGAAATCTGGGGGAAATAAGTCCGGAGTGAGTTCCGGATCTCTGAAGGAGGCCAAGTATTGCTAAGCGGGTTGCATCTGAGCAAAACACAGTGGTTTAATAGTTCGCTTTAATCGCAAGTAGATGTAATAGTATCTGTGAGATATGCTGTAGGTAAGTTTACATTTTGGTTAGAACACTTATAGATTTAAATTTATTATGCTATATAAGGATGAAAGTCTGTTTCTATAATAAAGTAAACAGAATTGCCGAAGGAAAAAAAAGAATTTGATATAATTATAGTTAGCTTTCTTTAAATTTTTTTTTTTTTTGAATGTTAATGGTGAGACCATGTCTCTGTCTTTATTAAAATTTAATTTAACTCTCTTACAAAGCAAAGAATATACAGCTTTCTTACAAAGAAAAGAGAATATGACTCTTATACAAAGAAAAGAATATATTTAAACTTCATATTCTAAAATAGCAAGAAAAGAAACTCAGACTAATTTATCTGCAGCCTAAACTAATTAAATAATTTTTTATATAAATTTATATATAAAATTAAATATATTAATTTATTTAATTTCTAAGTAATTACTTTTATTAAACATGTCTCTTAACTGATATTATATATTTTAATTTAAAAAATAAAATTATATAATTAAATACAATATTATATAGTATTAAACTTTTTCTAACAATTTTCTAGTTAACAATTCCAAAAAACTAAACTATAAAAAATACTTTAAAAGATATCAAGTAATTAATAAACTTAGTCCTATACAAGTAGATATATTATTGATGAAGTACAAAAAATATAAAACTGGTAAATAAACTATTTAAACATTTTTTGTAGAGGTTAAACTTTTTTGTGATAAACTCCTTAGCATTTAAATCAAAAAAAACATTTTAAGAACACAGAACAACAAGGTCAACATTAAAATATTAAAAGCTTTAAATTATATCTATATAATTATAAAGTTTACAAAGAAGAACCTACAAAGTTTTATTAGTTCACTACTTTTTTTAAGAAAATTTTATTAAAAAGTAAGCATTTTGGCTTACTTTCTCTAAAAAATTGACATATAATTTTTCAAAAAAATTAGTATTGTTTATTTATTAAAATAAGATTGTT